GACACTGGATGTTTTGCAAAACAGTAGGCTGCATACCAGTGGGAGAGAAGATGCTACCAAAGAGATGGCCAGCTGCATATCACAGGCAGGAGTGGGATGGGAGCTAAAATTTGCAGCTGGAGACCAGCAGAAATCATATGGCGAGCATTAATCTAATAAAAAGGTGATAGTGGAAGAGGCAAATGTTGTATAAACACAAATTCAGCACATCCCAAAAACACTGAACAGATGTGGAAAAGCATATGAAGAGAAGAAATTGAATCATTTAACAATGTTAGAAATATGGGTAACAAACCAGAGGAATAGAAAATTCTCAGTGGATAGAAAATTATTTACTTTAATGAAACTGATGGGACAAATCACAGGTCTGGAATGTCAAAATCACTGCCTGTTTAGGAAGGATGGTGAAACCATTACCTATTTTCCTGTTATAGATCACTGTGCTAACTAAAAATCCAGGAGAGGGTAATGGGGAGATCTGTTACAGACTACCAAATCAAAACAGGAAAGTGTAAGAACAACCTAAATTACTCCTTTTATGCTTGTTTAATGTGTGGAAAAAATGTTTGTTTTGCAGGTCTTTAATTTGTGAGGCATGAAATGGGGGTCTTGTGAAGCTAACAGTAATACAAACACAAGACCTACTTTGGACCACACAGATACAGATTAGTTAATCACTGGACTGGAAGTTATCTAATGACCAACGATCTTGACTTGATTATATTCAATTCAGACAATGAGAACAGACCCAATTAATTTATATACTCAGGCTACGTCTAGACTGGCATGATTTTCCGGAAATGCTTTTAACAGAAAAGTTTTCCATTAAAAGCATTTGCAGAAAATCGCATCTAGATTGGCAGGACGCTTATCTGCAAAAGCACTTTTTGCGGAAAAGCGTCTACGGCCAGTCTAAACCCGGTTTTCCGCAAAAAAGCCCTGATCGCCATTTTTGCAATCGGGGCTTTTTTGCGGAAAACAGTACTGTGCTGTTTACACTGGCTCTCTTGCGCAAATGATTTGCGCAAGAGGGCTTTTGCCCGAATGGGAGCAGCATAGTATTTCTGCAAGAACACTGACGATCTTACATGAGTTCATCAGTGTTCTTGCGGAAATTCAAGTGGCCAGTGTAGACAGCTGGCAAGTTTTTCCGCAAAATCATCTGATTTTGCAGAAAAACTTGCCAGTCTAGACACAGCCTCAGTGTTTCAAAAGGGCTCCATTTCCCCCATTGAGAAATTATGAGCAAAATTTACTGGAAAGAAAAGGACAGAAAAGTGTGAACAAAAACTGGTAGTTTCATTATGTCCTTGAGATAAGCAATCCTTAACAAGAGAGGTATGAGCCAAAACTCTTAGATATACCAAATGGATAGGTTCCCTCCATAAAAATGGTGACCTAAAAAGAAGGGATTAGCTCATCCATCTCATCCTTTTCTTCCCTTCCCCAAACCATGTTAAACTATGGAAGAGGATTTTTTTCTTTAAATGTAAATCTCTACTAGAATTCTTTAGAGGTTTCCTCACTGTATCTTGTAAATGGATAGATCGTTTACCCCAGCGAGACTAATGTCAAACTTACCAGATCCCAAGCGATTTTGTAGAAGCCGCTATCTCTGCTCCACCACTGGCCCTCAGCACCTGGCAGGATGGTTCCAAAGGAACTGTGTTATAAGGGAATGCCCTCTTGTAGGGACTCTGCCACAGAAAAAGGCAGAGTAGAAAATCAAGCATGGAAGATCCTTCCATATAGGGATGATCAAAAGAATGAAGAAAAAAAACCCCTTGTCTGCTCTTTTAGGCTTCTTGAAGTCAAAATTTTGCATGCAAGTCATGTTTTAGTGGAAATACTGATGCATGGGTAGAATCTGAACATAGAATTCGGCAGGTAAGAAAAGGTTAATATGTTGGTAATTCTTAAACTATGTAGTATATTAATGTTTTGGATTCTTAAAAACAGATTTTAAACAAACATGCTGTTCTACTCACCTTTAAAAGAACAAGGTATCCTAAAACAATGTTCCACTTCAAGGAACAACCTCATTCATGTAACACTGAACGTTAACAACGATTGACCTGACCAGTTTTCTTTTACTAGTTCAGTAGTTTTCATACTTTTGTACTGGCGGCCAGGAATTATTCAGATGCTGCCCAGCTGATTAGGAGAGTGCCCACAGCTAGGTATTTTGTTTCTACTGGTAGTGAACATTTGCTCCCGCCACAGTGCACATAAACATTTATTTTGCACATGGATGGAAAAAATCTGCACATAAATGGAAAAGTTTAGCAAGAACACTGATGGTGACCCTTCATTTAGCAACACTGTGTGAACCCTCCCACCCACACACACATTTAGTATCATTATAAATGCTGGATGCAAAGCAGGTTTCCCCACCCATTTTAGAACCCCTGAAGAAATCCCTGGGCATTTTACGTTATGAATAACTTTACCCACATATCTATCTTACTATGCTAAAATGTTTTTTTCTCCTCACTTAAAAATAAACATTTATGTTTTTAGGGGAAAAAAATCTATGGTCATTCATTAGCTCCAAGTAATTATCCAGGTGGAAAGAAATGCCATCTTCTGCTGTGTTTTTGTATAGTATACAGTTGTTGTTCACTGCTCTCAGAAACAAGCTATTGTCAGTTGCCTTGTTTTTTGGGACTTTGAATAAAGGAATTTAACTGGTTTAGTCAGTGCTTTTACTCTCCCTAAACGCCATATTCCAAATTAGCTTAACTCTGAAGGTCAATAAACCCTTACTCTCTGGGCTTACGTACCCTACTTCATCAGTAAGTTATGCAACTTCAGCTATATGAATAACATATGTGTATGAATAAGTTCACATACTTAGATCTACTTACTACAGTGTTTTCACTGTGGTATGTCAACTACACACACTCTGCTGTCCACAGGAGAGAGACTGGTGTCTATACTAGACACAATAAATCAATCCCTGCTGGATCAATTGCTGCCTTAGAGATATAGACATAGCCAATGTTCCCTCTAATGACCAGGGCTCGACAAAGAGTGTAATCTACTTGCCACAGGCGAGTAGATTACGTCCCAGAAGAGCTGGCGCAGAGCGATCTGCGCATGTGCAGAATGATCTGCGCATGTGCAGAGCGCAGAACTGCGCGGCTGGTGAGCGGGGCTTGTCGCAGCTCAGCGAGCCCTGCTAATGACCAATGATCTTGACTTGATTATATGTGTGGATTTTTTCCATCTATGTGCAGAATAATTTTATGTGCACTGAGACACGTGTGAATGTACACCACTGATAGAAACACAAAACCCAGCTGTGGGCATCCTGCTAATGAGCTGGGCAGCATTTTAATTTCTCTGGAGCAGCAGCACAAGCACACAGCTTACAGGGAATACTGGACATAGCTAATAGCAGTACTCAGGGTAGGGAATACCATCTCCCTGAATGATGCTGGTTATGCTGATGGACAAATATTTCTGTTGATGAATACATGAACAGTGAGGGTTATGTCAGTGTTTTTCCCCCACGCCCCTGTGACATAGCTATGCCACTACAAGTTTCATGTGTAGGCAAACCCTAAACCTAGAAGTGTTTCCTGCAGTTAGGCTGGGCCAATTAGAAGCATCAGTGATCTGGAATTCATAGCTGAATTTTGACATCATGAAAGCCTCAGCAGGATAGCAACTCAGGTTGCTGTGATCTGTTCCCCAACCAGGGTGACTACTTGGAGCAGGCAATAGCTGTATTCCTTTCTTCTGTGTCAGCAGGGTTCTGCCCTGACGGAAGGTGCTGGTGAGTCACTGATAGAGACTTCTCAAGTGCAAGTCAGGGGTGCCAAATCCGCATCAAAAATACAGAAATTGGGCTTGGTTGGGTTGCAGCTTGTGGGTGGACTAGTTTTTCGCTTGCAGATTATTTTGGCTTGTTGCTTCTTTTTAATTTGTGGTGCGTTCACAGGAAGCAGAGCAAGAGGGAGAGAGTCCAGGGCGCACAGCAGACCCACCAGAAGGCAGACTGCATGGGAGGGGCCAGGAGGGAGGAG